TGTCACGCCGAAGACCCGGGTTCGATTCCCGACATGGGTACAATGTGTGAAGCCCATTTCTGGTGTCCCCCGCCGTGATATTGCTGGAATATTGCTAAAAGCGACGTAAAACCATACTCACTCACTCTGTATTGGCTAATTGACGTGTGGCGAGTCATCGATAATCCATGATCTACGGTGGCCCATAAGGGACATGGAGTCTGTTTTTCCATATTTTGATATTTCACTTACATTTATCGTAACCTTTTGCAAATTAACACGATTTGTCTTACAAATATGTGATAAATCATGTGTAAAGAAGATATTGAATCGCTGACATTTTCATTTTAGTTTTTGACATTTTCACTTTCAGCGACTCAATAGCTACTTAAAAGTACATTTTCCATGTTTTCGGATGTTTTTATACATGATTTATCACATATTTGTATGGCAAATTGTGCAAGGGTTACCATAAAAGTAAGTTAAACATCAAAATATTTAAAAACAGACTCTATGTCTCTTATGGGCCACCGTAATGATCATTTTATTTTATCAGCATTTTCCTTAATGATGGCGTTTTAAGGTCATCCTGGATCTTCTTCGAAGTTCTCCCTTTCAATTGGAGATACTCGGTCACAGAACAGCAGCCGATTTCGTGCATTTTCTTCAACAGAGAATACCTAGTCACGTGATGCCTGCAACAATATGCTGCCTGCTTGTGTATTTGGTTCAAATACTGCCTGTAAGATTGAAAAGTATTGAACTTAATACATGCAAACGTAGTTCGAAAATAATCTTTCAGCCGCCCCTCGTAAAAATCTTTGATTATTTTATATACGATTGCGTAACATTTACAAACATTTGTAAACAATGACGAATAGATAGATCAAGTATTGATTATGTGGTCAATAATGTGCTCTATCAGGGAAAAGTAGAAATGTGATGAACTCAATAAGGAATTTGTAGTAAAATGTTGAGGGTAAATAAAGTTGAATGAACGGCGGGGCAAGCCCGCATCTATAGTACTAAACGTGAAGCTAGTACCCTATTTTGACTTGTCTCATATTTTACCCTGTTTCTTCGGATGACTAATTGACTTGCCTTTGTATGTGTTTGTGATGGGTGCGACCGGTGTGGCAGAATACGCTCACCTTTTTGCGAACATCTGGTCTATCACTATTTGATAGTGATTCATACAAAAACATGCTTATGATATAGTGGCCATCGTGCAATGACCTTTGCTTTTAGCAGATATTTCGCATCACTGATTTTCATTGATCCATTCACATAATTTTTATGCTTGTACTAGTCCAGACTGATGTCGGTTTTATAGTGCAGACCCATTAGATACCATGCCGCAGTTTCTACATGAATATCCCACTAAAACACAACATACTAGCTTCGAACCGACCAGTCCTTGGTTATCCCCTTAATGTTGTGAGCACAAGGTAGGGTAACAACAAGTACCATCTTTTAACGTCATTTGGTATGACGCAACCGGGGATCGAACCCCGACCTTCGGCTCTCCGGGAAGACGATCTACCAACTAGACGGTCCCTAACATATTGGAATAAATACTTCTTCTGTCAAGGATATATTTTAACAGGATGAGAAGACACATTAACGTACGTCAGTAAATAAAAAAGAAGCTGTCTTCTGTCAATACTCCGACGTCCTTATAGGAGTCGTTTGGTGTGTAATTGAAGATATCAAATATTGATAACATGTCTACATGCTCTTTGGGCGGCAGTATTTCGTCTTGACGTTCCGATAGAAACAGACGTTATAAATAATTACACCTTGAAAATGTGTTTATATTGAACTAAGAAAAGCAAAATGAATGTTTGTATAAACTAAAGTATATGACAAGTTCAAATTAATCGCCGATCATGTTAGAATGCACCGTTGTTTATATAACGCAGTAGAAGACAGAAGGAAAACATGCATGTGCCAGCAACTGGCCCTGGTTGATGCTTGATGAGATAAATATGCTCATCGCCGAAAGAAACGCGAACCATGGAAACATGTTGAGAAGTATGTACGTTAAGAAGAGATGTTTCCAATGTGTACCAATTAATGACAAAAATAACAATCAGTCAAGTCTTACCACGTGCACAGAAGGATTTTATTCCTATCACGATATGCTGAAGGTGATTTCCAAACTTTACACGCTAATCCTGCACGAAACAAATGTTGCATCTCGAGACATGAGCTGCGTTCATTTCATGAGCGTTGGTTCACACAACATACCAGTGTGTTCCTTTGTGCAGCGAACCAAATAATATCTCTTGAATATTAGTAAATCTACAAAAGAAACGCGAATATCTTCATATTGGTTCATATATATACTCGTATATATATGAACAATTCATGAAGATATTCGCGTTTCTTTTGTCGGTGAGTATATATACAGACTCCAAATAACGACTGTCAAACATGGATTCCATGTGAACAGGATATTCAGTAAACTACGTTTATAACGAACACGCTTATACCGAAATGACGGTTTAATCGAACTGTTTTGGGGTCCCGTCAATGTGCTGTATATAGGCTGCATATGTGCCTACAACGAACTACGGTAATAACGAACTAAGATTAATGGTCCCTTTTAGTTCGTTATAACCGTAGTTTACTGAACACTACTTTAGAACTTGAAAGAAACAGATGATAATAATGATTATTGATTTGTTGGTATTTTATGTTTCAGTGCAAGAATTGTTTTGTTTTTAGTTTTGGCATCGCCATACTCGTGCTCGTGGGTTTCACCAAAGTGGTAAACGTCTGAGACCTGCATCAGTCGGGCTCTCTTCCTTCATTAAACTGACACGCCGTGATATAACTGGAATACTGTTCAAAGCGGCGTTACACCTAACTCACTCACACTCTTGAAGAAATAGAAACAACTCGAGCGAGCGCTTTGTAACCAGAGATTCACATGGGTTCACCATGTGAGCCAGAGACTCACGAAAGTCAAATGTTTCCAGTCAAAGCTGGACATATTTGTCCACTAGCCACTAGCCTATATCAAAGTCTAGTTTCCACCCTAGCTAATTCAAGCCTACGTTTTCTGTGCTAAAATATGTTTGGACTATCGCACTTTCGTCCAATCAGAGAACGTTTCATAAAAGCAACATCTGTGTTCCGAAAAAACGTGCCAAAGCCATTGCCTGTCGAATATGCGCGGAAACTATTCCAAAAGTTAAACTTAAGACAAAGACTAATTTAGATATACGTCTACATACGTCTTGACTGAGACGGATATTTTCAAAGTTACTTATTGTAAGAGCGAACTACGACAGTAATATGTGTCTTTACTGTGGTCATCTGTCATTTTGTTTGTGTGTCAGGGTTAAAATCTCAAATCTTTTTTACCTGACCGACCGAATCGTCTGCTATGGTAGTCATCTTAGTGAAGCGATCTGATTGGTTATCGCGTTTTCATCACAGGGGACACAACTCGAGTTGGCTAGGTGGCGCCGCGATCAAGCCAAGGAAAGTAGGCTTGAAATGGCAAGAGAAGAAACTAGGCTTTGATACAGATGAGGTAAAGCGGGGCTCAAGATTATTGCAGTAATACAGCGACATGCATTCACGCGCGCGTGTGTGTGTGTGTGTGTGTGCGTGTGTGTGTGTGTTTGTACTACTTCGGACTTATGCCGATTTGTTAGTGGTATAGTGCTAGCCCACTGAGATACCATTACGCAGTTTAACATGAATACCAACTCAGACACATTATACTGACTCCAAGCCGACCAGTCCTTGTTTTAGCCCCTGAATGTCGAACTCCAGGCAGGGATACACGAAATATCATCTTTTAACGTCTATTGGTATGACATGGTCGGGGATCGAACCCCCGACCTTCCGCTCTCCAGGCAGACACTCAATCCACTAGACCCCAAAGGCGGTCTCTTTAATATAGGCGAGTGAACACTCTTGCCTCGGGGAGATCGTAAGAGGAAGGTTTCGGTTTTCTGAGATTCCAAAGGAATCCTCCTGGTGGACTACCTCCTGAAAGGTCCGACCATAAATAGCCAATGTTATGCTGATCTGCTTAGAAGAGAATATCAAGACTAAACATCATGGAAAACGCAATAAATCTGTGTTGCTCCACCAGGAAAATACACCTGAGTGGCTGCAATGCATCATTGTGGCTTTGTTACTCCTTGAACATCCTCCGTATTCACCAGATTTGGCATCGTCAGATTTCCACCTCTTCCCAAGCTTGAAGAAAGAACTGTCTGGCAGGTGTCATGCAAATCAAAGGATGAAGATGTCATTTCTGCCGTGAAGGTCATTTGGCACCACGAAAAGGACGTTTTCTACACCAGTGGGATCCAGGCACTCCAGGATTGTTGGCAGAACTGTTTGGACATCGGAGTGGATAGTGTTGAAAAATATAATTAGCAACTCAATCAACGCCGCCCATCCTATATCTGAACCTTACAGACGCCCCTCGTAATCAATCTATCTGTAATGCTTGTTTTGTTGGGTAAAGGGTTTGTGTCGCAGTCAACAGTGTTCAAGTTGTAAAGAGCCGTGAAGATCCGGCCTTCTGCAACCCATGCTTGCCGTAAAAGGCGACGAACCGGATCGGGTAGTCAGGCTCGATGACTTGAAGCATGTCATCGATCCCAATTGCGTGGATCGATGCTCATGATATCAATCACTGGATTGTCTGATCCAGACTCGATAATTTACAGACAGCCGTCATATAGCTGGAATATTGCTGAGTGCGATGTAAACAACAGACAAACAAGCTGTATAATGACGGCCTGCAAATAATCGAAACTTAGCCAGGTGAACCAGTGGGTGATAGCATGATCAGTGACACACACTGTTGGGGTACAGTCACACACAATCAACCAGCTTAGAGAACCCCATTTCAGTCAGGTCTAACGAACAAGTATGGGGTAACTAGAGACCCGGAGTTCCCACGGGTGACGCCAAGGAAGGAAACATCATGACAATATTTGTTTGCCATCTTAATAGTAGTCTCTCTGAATCATTTTTTTCGATTTCAGGATGTGAAGCATGCATGCGCACATCGGCCTTGTCGCAACTATGAAGTGTGCATACCTGTATTGGCTGCTGTTCGCCACATCTGCCTGCCAACAGGTAAAATACAAATCCTGCTCACGTTCAACTGCAGAAACTTGTCTTCCATGTAAGATTCCATGGAATATTAAAAAATATATCTGAATTCTCTTGTAAGAGCCGTTATATTTTTTCACTGAATGAGTAAACAATACACAGCTTCAATGTGACTCATAGAAAAACACGAATCCCTCATAAGACTTTTGGTATGTTTTCTTAAAAGGTTATAGGGCATTTACCATTATTGAGTTTAATAAACATGTTTATCTATAAAAAAAAAAAAGGGGGGAGACCTAACGGAAAACGCGGAGCGACATGTGTTGAAAAATTATACGTTCAATTCTCGTACAGTTTTGGAAGATTTTGAATCCCGTTTCGCCCTGTTTCTAGGTTTGTCAGCACCATGCCCGTGCTCATGAGTTTCACCGAAGTGGTAAACGTCTGAGATCTGCATAAAGTGGCCACGCCATAAAATAGCTGAGATACTGTTCAAAATCAAATCAGTGAGAAGATATACTCACTTCTTGTTTTGTAACCAGGGCAAAAGTCGGAAAGCAAATGTGAAAGACGAACCACGGCCGTGGTTGATGTGTCTGTGTGTGTGTCTGTATGTGCCTATCTGTCTGTCTGTGCCTAGGTGTGTCTGAGTGTGTGTATTTGTTTGTCTGTCTGTCTGTACGTGTATCTGGGTGTGTCTGAGTGTGTGTGTATGCGTCTACATATCTCTGTGTCTGTTTGTCTGTGTGTGTGTGTGTGTCTGTGTCTGTCTCTGTGTGTGTCTAGGTGTCTCTGTCTCTGTGTCTGTGTCTGTCTGTGTGTGTTTAGGTGTGTCTAAGTGCGTCTGTGTGTGTGTGTCTGTGTGTGTGTCTATGTGTGTGTGCGTCTGTGTGTGTGTGTGTGTGTGTGTGTGTGTGTGTGTGTGTGTGTGTGTGTGTGTGTGTGTGTGTGTGTGTCTGTGTCTGTGTCTGTCTAGGTGTGTGTCTGTCTCTGTGTCTGTGTTTGTCTGTGTGTCTAGGTGTGTCTAAGTGTGTCTGTGTGTGTGCGTCTTTGGGTATCTATATGTGTGTGTGTCTGTGTGTGTGTCTGTCTGTGTCTCATGTTTCTACATCTGTCCATGCACCATACCCATGCTCTTGGTTTTCATCAAAGCGGTTTACATGCAGGTCTTGCATCACCTCGGTCTTTCCATCCACATCAAATTGTCACGCCGTCATATAACTGACTCTCTTTTCATGTGTACATCTATTTAGCGGATTTACCAGGAGCACAAAACGCCATAGCAGCAACAGACACAGCAGGTAAAGTCGACGGAACGGTGACGGTGATGACGCCTCACTCTGCAACGTCCACCAGCGTTATCCAAGTGATGACAACCCGTATAACGTCTATAGTGGCAACATCGTTTGCGGTGACCAGTGCAACCACTGCAGAATCTTCAGCGGTGACCAGTGAAACCACAGCAGAATCGTCACCACCGACCAGTGAAACCACTGCAGAATCGTCAGCGGTGACCAGTGCAACCACTTCAGAATCGTCACCACCGACCAGTGCAACCACTGCAGAATCGTCACCACCGACCAGTTCAACCACTGCAGAATCGTCAGCGGTGACCAGTGCAACCACTGCAGAATCGTCAGCGGTGACCAGTGCAACCACTGCAGAATCGTCACCACCGACCAGTGCAACCACTACAGAATCGTCATCACCGACCAGTGCAACCACTGCAGAATCGTCACCACCGACCAGTGCAACCACTGCAGAATCGTCATCACCGACCAGTGCAACCACTGCAGAATCGTCATCACCGACCAGTGCAACCACTGCAGAATCGTCATCACCGACCAGTGCAACCACTGCAGAATCGTCAGCGGTGACCAGTGCAACCACTGCAGCATCGTCAGCGGTGACCAGTGCAACAACTGCAGAATCGTCAGCGGTGACCAGTGCAACCACCGAAGAATCATCAGCGGTGACCAGTGAAATTACTGAAGAATCGTCAGCAGTGACCAGTGAAATTACTGACAAGTCTTCAGCCCTCACCGGTGCATCAAACCCACCTTCAGAAGCTACAATATCTCAACAGCTATACAATTGTAAGTGACAATCGAATATATTTTAGTATTAATATATATTTAAAATGATTCTTAATTTGTGCGCTTAGATTTACAGAGCGAACGTTTCCAATAAATGTCCTTTCTCCGTCGTCGAAATCCCCTGAACCAACATGTCAAAGTAGCACCGATTAATTCAACAAATACGAGTCATAAAACCTGGGTATAACAGAAGTAAATAATTCATTACTGGTAAGTACGTTCCCTCTGAACATTTGCACTGGGGAAATCGATGTACCAGGAGTATTGGTTTCTGAGGAACTATATACCCGGACTGCAATTCGCTCTCGAATACAGAACTTCCTTCCATCACCCGTGACTACAAACGATCCATTAAAGCCACGGTCTAGTTCCAGTGCTGGGACTAATCAGCGCTCAGATTACAGAGCACAAACTGTAAAGTTTACCGTGCAATGTGTACCGTGGGATCTACTTTCATTTCTTCAAAATAAGGCAATGGCAAGGTTCTCACATAGTTTATTCATGGAGTAGAGCTCATTTGGCCTACGTTAAATAATTTAATTAGGTCACTAAACATTGACACACGTCACTAATGTACGAGTCACGGGCGATAGGGAACATAGTGCACACACAATCTGAGGTATAGACGATGCATTTTCAAATAATGTTGTATAAATATTTTAAGGAAATATTTACCACGATTGTGAAGGTAATCTGATATGTTAAAACCTGTCCCGATGTTAAAGGGGGACTCCGATCTGTGGCATATTCTAAAGCTAAGGGACAGGTGTTAGTGATTGGTATCAAGCAAAACGTAGGGCAATCATGAAGTGCTTACATACTAATAAAGTGAGCTTTGAAGGACTTTGACCAAACGTGCTATGACTCTTAATTAACACGAATATAGGTCACCTTTATATGCATATTAGGATGGGAAGTCGTTGGAGGACATACATGATAAGTTGTCAGATTATCTTTTATCGTAACTGGGGGCGTTTGGGTAGCCTAGTGGTCAAAGCGCTCGCTCGTCACAGTAAAGGCCCGGGTTCGATTCCCATATGGGTAAAATGTGTGAAGTCCATTTCTGGTGTACCCCGTCGTGGTATCGTTGGAATATTGCTAAATATTGCTTGATAGATTGAGATTATTATCCGAGGATGTTTCCGTATCGTTAATATCATATGCTGGGAATACCTATTGTATAATGCGAGCCTTTGGGTAATGATCTCTTTAGCATACAATGTCATTCTCAAACTAATTGATGTTAAAGGCGTAAGGTCACTAAATGAAGCAGTCTTAGAAACCGCGTATGAATACAATGTTTGAGTTAATCGCCCAATTTATCACATATTGTCAGATGACTTGCAGCTATTTTATTACAAGGTCACACATTTGGAAACCCCAATGCAAAACAGTTTGGGAACTTTAGTCAACAATTTATTGAGAATGGATGCATTGCATTGGTGGAAAGTAGTTCCTCATGGGCGACCTCATTTGCATATCTCTCGGACCATGATACCGTGGTCATATCGGAATAAATAAATCTTCGTCGTGTTCATTGTAATTCCTGCCTTCCGATTAGTTGAATTGGTCACGTGTTATTGCATTTCCCAATGAATGCACTAAAGTAACCTACGTCCACCGAGGTGAGGTGAAACAGGGTTTAACGTCGCGTCCAAGATTATTGCACATATATAGCGACGTGCATGTACCTGTATCTGTGTGTCTGGCTGCTTGTTCTACTCCGGACTGATGCCGATTTATAGTTCTAGCCCACTGAGATACCATGCCGCAGTTTAACATGAATACCCCGCTCAGACACATTATACTGACTCCGCGCCGACCAGTCCTTATTTTAGCCTCTTAATGCCGAGTGCCAGACAGGGTAACAACAAGTACCATCTTTTAACGTCTTTTGGTATGACGCGGTCGGGGATCGAACCCCGGACCTTCCGCTCTCCGGGCGGACGCTCTACCATTGGACCACGGAGGCGGTCCTACGTCCCCCGAAGCGGATTCATACAGTTTGTAAATCGGTTTTTCGATTCCTACCTCAATGAACCGGACAAAATACACGGTCAATCCTTAATTGCTTTATTGCATCGACAGCACATGCCTTTATGTCATAAAGATTTTTAGCATATACTATATACTATAAATGAGACATTTTGCATGTGCGATAAGCCAACATAGAGACGGTCATATCACAGGGGATGTAATCACCAAGCCCGTGTTACACCGGGCTGAGGCGGCCTGTCAATGCATTTTGAATGGGCGATCAATGTCAGCCCGGGTGGTGAAAAATTGGAGTTATATCCCTTAGTGCGTCGTCTGCTCGGTCAGCTTCCCCGTGGCAATGTCTTCCAAACAAGGTGAAGGGGGCACGGGTGGCCCAGTCGTCTAAGGCGCCGCGATTCGCTGTGCAGAGTTGCGTCCCTTGGGCACGCCAGAAACCTATGATCGTGGGTTCGAGTCCCGGTTCGCCCCGATTATGTTTCTAGGTTTGTCAGCACCATACCCGTGCTCGTGGGTTTCACCGAAGTGGTAAACGTCTGAGACCTGCATCACTTCCGGCTTTCCTCCCACATTAAGCTGACACGCCGCGATATAACTGGAATACTGTTAAAAGCGGCGATAAACCCAACTCACTCACTCACTCACTCCAAACATGGTGAAAATGCAAGGGCGGATCCAGCACTTTTAAAAGGACCATTATAGCAAAATCAACTCTCCGATGTTGCCTATGTACCGCCTATGAAATGTATTGCAAACACTTGCAAATAGAAACATTTTACAAATTAGTGTGACGGTATACTCATTTACTCATACCTCGTATCAACCGTGGACCGCCTCCG